CCTTTTCTCAGCCTTCTCCCTCTCCCCCTCTTTCAAACTGTCGTACCAGGTTGCCAAAAACAAATCATCCATAAATCGATTTCCCTGCATAAGGTGCCTGTCCGCCCCCATCGAGCTCAGGAACTTATACTCAGCGAAAGCGCACATTACACAGGCTTGCTCGGCCTCCCATTGGAATCCCGTTCATCTGTTTGAGTACCTTACCCCCTGCTTTGAAGAAGGTGTTGTCGAGTAGAAAACTCGTGATGTCATCCAGTGCTTTCATTCGAACCGACTTCCATCCGTCCTCTCCATGCGATTTTCCAAAAGTGACCTTTTTACCCTTTACTTTTATCCTTATCCATCTAAGGCCTTTATCCTGCAGTCTATTAACCAGCCATTGTACGCTGGCCCTCACTTCGTCATGTGGCAACTGAGTAAACATTTCCTTTATGTCGTAGGTTCTGATACTAATCCTACTGTCCATACCGGCTAAGTCGTGTGCTTTCTTGTTTACTTTTGCAATTTCCTCTTTTAGCTGTAGCGTCCCATGCAGATTAAAATGCTCCCGCCCCACTTCCTTGAGCATGTAGTTTAACGCTTTACTTAGTATACCAGCCGCATGCCTTGCTGGGTTACAAAAGGAAGGCACTACCGGTCTTCTTTTGCAAAGATCCTTGTCTTTTGCAATGACATAAGATTCCTGCAATCTTCCAACGTTATCCCAGTTTGCCCATTTTCCAATCCCAGCTTCTTTGTACTTCCCCCTCATTTCCAGCAGGACTTCCTTCTCTTGCTTCTCAACCTCCTCATAGTTCGGGTTCTCGTTGAACATAGTTCGCATCCCAGTTGCATACAGCATGGGGCATTCTACCAGAGTTTCCCCATTGTTACGATCGACCGGCGACAAGACAAGTCCCCTAAGTGATTGTTTTACGCCTTTGACGTATTCAGCTAGAACCATCCCATCCTGCAATTCCGGTTGCCTCCATTCCAATTGGTGCAGTCGCATTCTTACAGCCTCCCCCCCTTTTATCAAACCCATCCTTTTTAGTGGTTTGATCCCTTCGTTGCAGGCCCTGTTGATTTCCTGTGTACTATCAAAGCCCCCTGGTACCGGAGTGTTCTTCGAGTTGTGCAGAAGGCTTTTGATCCCGTCGATCTCACTGAGTCTTACCTGGACATGCCCGTTGACCCGGGGCAGTTGGAAGTCTTCACATGTGCAGGTTGTATCCCCACCTGAGAAGAGCTTCTGATTGTGCAGAATGTTGGCAATCGTACGGGTCTTAGCCCAAATTACCCTCATTCTTTGCACCAACAGGTTACACAGTGTAGAGTGACGTATCCTTGCCTTTAGCCAACACTCCATCTCTCGGTATATATTTTTCTTTCTAATTCCAGGATTAAAAGGAACCTTGATAACAATTATAGTCCTGGGGTTTATCCCAAACTTCTTCATCCCAATCTGTCTTCCCCTCCTCTCCCTCAAGGTATGTACAATGCCATCCATCTCCAACATCTCTTCCAAGGACTTCTTTAGTAGTTCCTTCCTTTTCCATGGTGCCCTCAGTAATCCGATCACCTTGGCTTTAACCCTTTCTGCCTTCCTCTTGGTTCTAATCACGTCCAATAGGATCCAATTTCCACCCCCTTCGATGACTGCTTTAGCATCCTTCAGCAGGTACTTCTTTCCTCCCTTCTCCATTCGACTGAAACCATACACCAGTTGGACCCGCTTCCAGGCTTTCAGCCATTTTGTCCCTATTGTATTAGTTATCCCTACCTGCTTTCCTCCCTTTTTGTGGATTTCCCTGATGAGTTTGAGCAAGTCCGGTTGCAACTCCTGTCGAACGTACTTACAGGAGAATAATAGAGGTCCTGGATATCTCACGGGAACCTTCTGCTTATCCCCACTCTTACCTTTTCTATTCCTCCTCTGTGTTCTCTGCTTCCTCTTGTGTTTTCCATTCAATCCAGAACTCAAACTCTTTATAATATCCTTTTCAACTGCAGCTATCTCCTCCGGTCTTCCGTACCATATAGGAAGAGCAACATAGTTCTCGATTCCAAACTTTATGAGCCAAGTGTGTATTTTCTGCTTCCCGTTAGTCCTTATAGCATGCTTATGCTCATTCCATCTAATCCTCAATTCTCGCTTTGTCATACCAACGTAAAGCAGTTTGCATTTTGGAGAGAAGATCAAATATACACAGGACGAAGCATTACCATCCAAAACTGACTCCCTTTCTTCCCCGCTCATTCTTTCCCAGAATTGCAGGTATTTTCTACCCCATTTCCAGTAACCCTGCATACAGCCATAAAGTATGATTCCACATTGGATTCGATTGCACAATACTCCATCAATCTTTCCCTGTTCCCTAAGTATCCCAACCCTCGTGAACAACCTCAGCATCGCCCGCTTCGAATGGGCTCCTAGTTTTCCCGAACATTCTCCACCTCATCCTGTCTCTCGTCCCCTTCTCCGGGTTCTGAAACCGTTACCCCATTTTCATCCATCTCACGTAAGGACTTCATAAATTCATCTAAGTCCGATCTAGCTAGTTCCATCACTCCCAGTTCTTTTCTAATGTAGGGTAACCCTTTTTCAACACAGAGAGCACGAATATGCGTGTAGTGCATAGACTCATAGTTCTCAACTCGGTTTTTCATGTAAGCCCCTAGGCCGAGCTCATCCCTCTCCTCCAACACTTCCTCTTCATCTTCCCCTGGCTGCACTGTCTCCATCTTCTCGTTGTGTTCATCTCCTTCTTCGGTCACAGCAGCCTTCCCGCGATCTTGAACCCCGACCAGTTTTGGCAGTGCTTCTACGAGACTCTTCAGAAGATCCTTGATTTCCCCCATCTCCGTTTGAACGGGTGTCAACGAGGAAGCCCGAGCTTCCTCAAATTTTTTCTTCAAGTTTCCTCCGCGTTTGCAAGTATCAGCTTCATCATCATCGGACAGGACGAGCACTCCATTTCACGGCCGACTCCGAATTTTGACTGCTGACTTCGTTTTTACCCGCCCGACTCGTGGCGAAGCGCCTGGTGTTACCACAACCATTTTTCGTTTTTCCGAACTTGATCCCTCCTTCAGCTCACGCATCTCTTTCTCCGCTCGCAGTTTCCGCAATTCATCCCGTTCGGCTTCGGTCATCTTCACCTTATCCTCCACCTTATCTACCTTCTCTGTTAGGATGCGCAAAGAGCTCCCGAACGTGGTCGTTATCCATCTCTTCATTTCATCCTCCCTGATTGTAGTTGCCTGCTTTTCTTTTTTATCATCCTCCTTGACGTTCTTCGCCTCTATCTCTTCGGCTGAGTAGATTCTATTTCCTTCACCCCCACTGGCTTCTTCGTAGCTTCCGCCACCGCTTCCCTGAACTTGATCTTGTCTAGTAGCTCCGTGTGCTCTTTCGTGAAGAAAGCCCGATTAGGATTGTAGCCCCTCCCATATCCGTTGTAGCCTCCATTGCCATACCCGTAAGCGGGTTGCACCTGCTGCTGTGGTTGACCCCACTGCGGAGGAGGTGGTGGTGCTCCCCAATATGGTGGTTGATAGAATCCTGGCATCGGTTGATAGTTAGGTGGGGGAGGAGGTGGAGGGACAGGTGGCGGATTCTGTGTCTGGCCGTACGACGGTGCCTGCTGCTCCATCCAGTACCGGCCGCACCCCGACCACGCACCCCGCCCTCTCCCTCTCCCTCTGCCCCTTGCGTACATCAACCGCTCCCTTCCTTGGTACCTTACTTCCTACCGCGCCCTTCAATCCTCACTCGTATTGTGAACTTAAAGATGGCCTTCACCTTCCGCAGGATGCTGATGACCGTCCCGAAGATTACTTCGATGGTGACGCGCATCCCGTCTTCGTCTTCGAGAGCCAATCCCGAGAAACCGTCGCCAATCGAGCAGGTACAAGGCCCTGCCTATCTCAAGTCATATCAACCCACGCCGTGTATGAGGTATATGCAGGTATATGTATATATATATATATATACATATAAATGTATTATTTTCTCAATATCTCCATATCTCAATATCAGAAAAGACGATGATGCTCATGGCGACGAAGTCACCACGGCACTGATCAATCGTTCCCAAGCAATGGCGCAAGGTCAATCAAAACAGCTGTTCGTGTATGTAAACACAATATAATCGCATAAAAATCATTGGGCGTTACATCTCGCAGTACATGATTTTATGCATCCACGCTAAAAAACAGCGTAACCACCCTTCTGCCGTACTACTCAGGTAGTGCAGCGCCAACGCGCTCGTCTCAGCTTTATACCTTTCTATCCTACTGCTTGCTACTGAAAATGCTAACTCCTGCTTTGAGTTCCGTTCGAACTTCACGGCCTTTTGGCGATCTACCGCCGCCCTGCGGCCCAATATTTTGAAAATAACAATAAAACAATTTTTTATTCTAAAATATCAACAAATAAACTTCAAAACTTATCTAAGTCCTAGATCAGCCATTCTAGAAGGCTTTTTTCATTTTTTCGGAAAAACATTACCGTCAAGTAGCGGCTGTGCAGCTGTTGTCACGTATGAGGATTTTCCCGACGAACTTTCTTTACCTCTGCCGCGATCGCGGCTTTCCGTTCGTGCCGCAGTTCAACGTTCGAAGTTTTGTAACTCGTTCTGGCTCTATAAGTTCTGGCTTTGTCAGTTCTGACGCACCGTTCCTCCATCAGTCCTACCCGCAGAGCATCTTTCTTAGTTGGACTGCCATCTCCTCCCAGAATCCTCCTACTCTCCTTCCAACGTTTT